GGTAGGTGTAATCAGTTGGTTAGTTGTAGTTAGTTGCTGAAGTTGTTAGTTTGTTATAGGTAGTTATAGATCTCTTGTATATAATGGCATAAGTGCCATGAATAATACACAACAATTTTACTCTTTAATGTTCCTACACATTGGTTGCTTAACACGATTGAACTTACTCGGAGTAGATAGATCGAGAAGAGAAAATTCAAAAGAAGAAGAAGAACGAAGATATTTTTGGAGAAATTATATTAAAAGTTAAAAGGAAATAAAAATTAAAAAAAAAGAGTTATCGAATGAAAAGAAAGGAAGAGGGGGGAAGGGGCCGTTGATTTTTGAAACGGGCAAAAGATGTAGATACGGTTTTTGGCTTTGAAGGAGATCGGTGCCCTTCTAAGGGGCAGTTTTGTGAGGGAAAATGTACAAATATGAATAAAATCAGACTGGCCCGGCAACTATTATACTGCGACAGTGAGTTTGTACACCGAATGTAATACACTATTTTTTGTATTTTGCTAAAATTTAAAAATAATCAATAAAGCAGTCAAAATAATCAATAAATTATTTTAAAATAGTTTTTAAAGTATAAAATAAATTTAAATTTGAATACAGAGGTTTAAGTTATTCTAAATTAAAGTAGAAAGGTGAATTTTCAAATTTCAGCATAGTAGAGAGACTACCAAATAATCTACTTAAATAAGAAAAAGACTTGATGTAAAATTAAATATTCAAATTATATTTTTTTTGTTAGTTTTGTATCTATTTTTTTGGTTAAAACTAATATTTAAAATTTGTATATAATATTTTTTTAAGTGTTAATCTCTTAATAACTATTAAAAAACGGTTAAGTAGCATGTGTTATTAATATATTTTTTAAAGATAAAAATATATTTTTTTAAAAAATCTCTCTATTCGTTGTCCTCTCTCACCCCTGTTTTTTCTCCCTCTCGTCCCCTTACAATTTTCCTAGCGTTGCCATCATTGGTATCATCAATCGATCGAGGGAAATGAGTACAAATATATTTTTAAAATATTTCTTAAATAAAATTTTCAAAAAAATAATAATGATATATGTTAGATAACAGTCCTTATGATGTAAATATATAAAATTATAACGAAAAAATGTTAAATATTTATTTTTAACAAAAAAAAAATTAAACACTTAAAATCAACAAATAATATAGTGTAGAAACTTATTTTTTTAATAAGCCTATGAAAAAAACCCGGAAAGTCATCATCGGTCCGATAGCCCCAAAAACTAGAGCCCAAAATCTGGAGTAAACCGGGAAGTCACCGACGACTGACGGTCTCTCTCGGGATCTCACTGGATTGCTGACAATCGGAGAGAGAAAGAAGAGACAGTTAAACTGATCAGAGCTGAAGGGATGGAATTTATTATTGACAAGGAAACTGCCATGGTTTCTCAAACCATCCGTAACATGCTTACTTCTCCAGGTCCTATTTCTCTTTTATCTCTTCATACTTAGTCTTTTTGGAGAATTGGATTTTCTGGGTTCTTAGTTGTTTTCGGTTGGAAAGGTCCAATATTTTGTTTTTTTGGGTGATGATGAAGGTGGTTTTGCGGAGACTGAGCATGGGGAAGTGACTTTTCCGGAGATAAGTGCTGTGATTCTTGAGAAGATCTGTCAGTATTTTTATTGGAATCTTCAATATTCCAGGTTTGTGTTTCGTATGCTTGATTTTTTCTTCAGTTCTGTAAGCTCTTCCTTTGTATCAATGTTTGATTCGTGTTAATGCTGTGGATATATTCAAGTCCTAACTCAAACTTTAGCTTTGAATATGTTGATGAACTGTATTGGAATGAATTTGGTTGTTGTTTTTATTAACTTGGAGAGCTCGGTCACGATCAGATTGAAGGTGGATTATCAAATTATACAATAAGAAAGCCTTTTTTTAGTAAGCTAGAAGCAAATATTAGTATTTCTATGAAGCCTTTGACCATTCAATTCATATATTTCTCCTTCTGTTAAGATGGATGTACTTAAAGTGAAGTCATAGTTGCAAGCTTTTGCGTGCATTTTAAAGATTTTTAGTGCTAGCTTAAGATGATGTTGTAGCTCTTTTTCATGTTTTCTTGTGATATAAACGAGCCAAGTTACTTATTTTATGAAATATTCTAGTGCGATGTTGGGAACGTGTATTTAAAAATCTGTTTTTCATTTCATTTTGTATATGAATTGTGAGAATCTAATGCATACATTATGTAAAACTTAGTTAAGAGTCAATATTATCATTTATATTTTGTATATGAATTTGGAAATCACGAACATTACATCTTCATTTTACACTGATAAAAGAGTTTGTATTTGATCAGGGGTAAAGAGACTGAGTTCCACATTGAACCTGAATTGACTCTGGAGCTGATGATGGCAGCTAATTATCTCCATACTTAGCTGATTACATTCTTTCCTTCTTAGGTAAAATATTATGTTTAAAATTATGATGTTTCTTTTGGTTGTTTTACTTATTTTTGTCATTTTTAACAATGAATCGATCATTTATTATTTTCTTATGAGTGTCACTGACAAGCTACCTTGCAGAGTCACTCCGGGGTAGTATTCATGCCCAAGAGTAGAATCTGCATCGTGCATTTTAGCTCTCTGCTGCATTGCATAATCGCGCATAATGGTGCATTCACATTTATCTTATGTGATTGTTTTGATTTAAAGAAGACTTAAATATGCAAAGGAATGCAGTTATTACTAGTATAATTGCTAGTATGCACTGAAATAACTGGAGCTCAATCTGAAATCTTGACCGTCAATTGATTAAGTGTATGCTGATTGGAGGGGCCCTTAGATTGGACAATAATGCAAAGTTTTAGGACACTCCTAGCTTAAAGATTTTCTAGGGAATTTTACCCACAAGCCACACGGATCACAAACTATATTACAGGGTATGTTGCATTGGTCTTGTGACACTAGTGACTAGCCTGGCCATAGCAATGCCAGATATGAGATCAAAATGATATATAACTAGCTCATTTAACTGATTGAGGGAATTGTAGGAAGACTCACCTTCTCTTATGCTAGAGTGCAGTCATCTCCAAAACTTTAGCCATCAGAACCCTTTCTGATATGTTTTCATTGTTGAATTCCAACTGCAATGTGTCCAAACCTCCCTCAGCCCCATGTGCTAACATCTTATTTTAGGTGCTTATTTTACAATTCTCCAACAGCTTCTTCCATTCCGATCGTCGCTTAACTCAGGCCTAGAGCACCCCAAAAAAGTGGCTCCTTACTATATTCCAAACTCCAACCTTATTGTCTATAGACGCTAAACTGCTCAAACTTGGATATAGAGCTGAATTCTGAATTTGCTTGTCAAACCGTGTACTGCAGCTGGTATCCCTCCTTTATTAAGCTGCTTGGTGAAGCTGGTGTGACGGGCGAGTGGGAATATTGGAGCTTGCCCTTTTTTTTTTTTGGCAGTGTTGATTATTCAAGGACATCAATTGTATTCCAGATAACCTCTGAAGATGTTAATGTCTTGTATTTATGTTTCGAATTTGGAAACAGACAGATCCATGAATAGTAGGGGCTAAAGGTTGTAAGCTAATTTTTTTTTGAGCAATTGTGAGGAAGTTAGTTTTCTAGCATCAGGATTAAAGGTCATGATCAAATATGCTAATATGAATATTGTGTGGTAAACATTCCCTTGGGTCACCTAAACACTGGCCAATATAAATGACGCTGTATGAGTATTTAATTTCGATTCTATGATCGATTACACGTAAAAGAAAATTAAAGATTAAATAACATTATAAGCGATAGAGAAGTATTTTATAAGGATCAAAATCAAAGACTTAACGTTGTTCATAATTTTATGGGAAGATACACATGCATGGAAGGTAAGGCGTGATAACATAAGATTGCTTGATGTTGGATTCTTCTCTCAATTATCAATCACACCCAATGGCCATAAAATCATGATACTTAAATGAAATATATAAACTAGGGAGTAGTATTGCCGAAATGAAAACGAAAAATTAAAGGACGCGGAAAAAAGAGTTGTCATTGACTCATTGTTAAATTCATCCCTTGCATTCACCGAGTGGGCGTGCCGTAGTGGTTATCGGGCATGACTAGAAATTAATAGTGTGTAAAAAGATCTGATCCGACCGATCTGATTCGTTGATCTGGTGATTCGATTAGATAATTCAGATCATATATCTGGAAAAAAATTCGGATAATCGGATGGGATAAATTTCAATTACAGATTCCGAAATCATGTGGGCTTTGCCCCATGTTCAAATCCTGCCGCTCAGTCTTTGATAATTTTTATTATTATTTTGCTAAACTCTTCAACTATATAACCATATGGCTTCTGAAATTTGGGATTTCAAATCCTTTCGGTTTTGCATAAATGAAGGTTGACAACTCCTCCACTACATCATAGGCTCTGAGTGTGCTTTGGGTGAAGGCCGAGTCCTCATACATAATTTAGGCTTAATTTCCTTTTCGATGTCAATTATCCATTCTGGAGACTCTGTAATACAAAACGCCATCTCTTATTTTCCAGGAATATAAGTTTAATGCAAAGATCATTGAAGTGAAAATAGAATATCAAAAGTATTTCCAACCGTTTATGTTATTCGTACTTAGGATTAGGATGAATGTAATAAACGAATATGTGCATGGTATCGATATGGTAAATACCATTTCACGTGAAAATGAAGAGTCGGTGCAATGTATGTTCCAATTGCAAAACCCTATTTTTCCTTGAAGATATTGCATACAATTCCTCTAGCACTTGTTGTATAAATTTACCAAGAACTTCAACTATCATCTGGCTATGCTATGTTCATACATGTCATCTTTCAACATATATCTAACTGAAAGATAACATAGTCCATAAATTGGAGAAAACTAAGGAAGTTTATCAGGAAAAAAAAATCGATAAAATATTTGAATTACCTTAGAAAAGAATTGAACATATTGTGTTAAGCACATACCTATATCTGACACTAACCCGAGTTAGGGTCACATAGTTTAGGACTTTTGGTATTTGCAATATTCTTCCTTTGATATGCAGAGAAATAGTCTTTCATATGCAGCTGCCATTTTAGAGGCAGTGAACAATTGCAACCCTCTTTGCCTAGCAGCCTTGCCTTTCTTCTCCAATATCACTCTGCCATCATTCCAAACACTATAGAGAGTCCTTTTCAAGGAATCCACACTAGGTGAGAAAGTATAACCCATTTCCAGTCCGACGATTACCGACCCCGTGATGCTGGCAACTCTTGTAGCCATTACAGGTTTTCCTGTGAGCATTGCTTCTAACAGAGTATGGTCCAATCCTTGAGCTCGAAGAGTCGGATTCACGAAAATATCTATTGCATTATAAAACTTTGCTAGTTGAGCTTGTTCCAATGGACCTAAAACAAGTATATTGGCTCCAAGATCTTTGTATCTGTCACCCCATGGACCATCACCAGCAACAAGCACAGTGACACTCTGTTGAAATTTGTTGTTTTCCATGAATATTTGATTCAAAGCTTCGAATATCAAAGGGTGTCCTTTGTCTTTCACCAGCCTCCCTGCCATTCCCAAAACCAATGACCTCTTTGAGATGCCAAACTTCTGTTTAAAATCGTTCCCTAGAGAGGGTTCCGGTCTGAAAATATCCTCATCAACTCCGTTTAGAATGATGTGGACGCGTTCTTCGGGAATCATGTAAATCCTTTTTAGGACATCTCCAGCATGATCACTAGTAGCTACATGGTGAGAATATCTTGGAAAAAACTTTACCTCTTCAACGACTTTCGTCGTCCTTTTGGTCGTCATAGATCCCCGTTGTGCTTCTGGTGTCCAGAGAAGCTCTTGGATGATATCAGAATGAATGGTTTCATACGCAATTCCATGCCATGTAACTGCTAGATTCGGCACGTTCTTCGCTCTAGTATGCAACAGTCCAACGCTCTCCGTGTGTACCACATCGAAATGTCTTCCGGTCGAGTTTTGAGTTTGAAATTGCTTCCATACAACTGCCTGTTCCAGATAACCACCGGATGTCGGCTTCGATAGGTGAAAAACTAAGTTGGCAAATGGATATATCGGAAAGGATGAATTCGGAGTAGAAGTAGTGAAAATGTGCAACTCGTGGCCTCTTTTCGCAAGGGCAAGGTGTAGAGTTAAGGCATGCCTTTCGAGCCCCCCTGCACGAGAGCCATGAGGCCATTTCTTAACAAAAAGAGCAATTTTAAGGATTTGAGGAGGAGGGTGAGTAGGAAATGAAAGAAGATTCCAAGCATAAGGGAATGTAAGTAGATCGATGTCTTCCTTTGGCTTTTGCATCATTAAAAGGTTTATGGAATAGCAATTGCTGGAAAAATGACACCAATAGAAGATTGAAATGATAGAAAATGCAGAAAGGATTAAAATTATGCAGTAGAATTTATGGAACCTGAACATAGTACTAATGATCTGATCTTTGGCCATGAAAATGAGATCAAATGAAAAGTTTCAACAGAAAATATTGCCTACGAACACATTTTTTGAATCAAGATGAAGAGTTTCAAAAGTTATTGGACTAAGTTTCAGATTCAAGAAACTAGCACATGGGTTTGAACAAGCAAAAGAAAAGCAGAATCCATGAAACAAGCCATTTTCAAAGGAGTAAAAGAAGCCTTAGCAAGTTGTCATTGAAAACCCCATTGACTAAATGGAATATTTAATCTATTTTTCTATATTTCCAAGACATATTATTTCTATAAACAAAAAAGGGAATCTGCAAACACTGGATTTAATAAGAGAAACCAGTGAACTATTCGCAACATGATCAATTAAAACAGTTAACACCAACTAATGAACCTAAACTACCTGCACCATGTAAGAGAATAAACAAATAATAAACGACAAGTTGCATGATGTAATGAATATCAGTTCATTAAGATTCTAGAAAATTTGAAGTAAATTGCTTTCCTTTAGAAAAGGGGTTTTATTTTTATTTTTTTGAAAATTAGTAATAAAATGATTGTAACTAAGCATTTTTTGAGTGATTACGCTATTTATACATCTCATCTCCTAGTGAATTAAAGCAGTAAATTGCAACACCAACACAGATAACAGAAGTCAAAAGAAACTAGAAATACCCCAGGAGCAATATAGTAGTTCAAACCCACGTGCTAGTTTGAAGGCCGAAGCAATGAGGCTAAGTAACAGGTATTTGCTGTCGTTGGTTGGGCAATAAAAGGAGAGAACCGGCATTGCCGGGGATCAAACCCGGGTCACCCTAGGGACAGGTGGGAATACTATCCACTATACTACACCGACAGCATTGAAATCGCAATCAAAACTCCTGTAAATAATCAAAATATACGTTTACAATCCAGTTATGAAAGGCTTCCGGCCAAGTCTTTTGAAAACAATAACTTAAACTAGTATGCTTGTCGCCACTATGCGACAAAGTACTTGATATATCTTCCACAATCCTACGACATGTGGCTAAACGATAAAGGAGTGTTTTATATGATCAAAATAATGGGTGCAGGATCCAAGGACCAACTTTGTCTACCAACCTTCAACTAGTTACACCAGATCCAAGGATCAACTTTGTCCGTCAACCTTTAAGCTAGTTAAGCTAGATTATGGGAGCAGAATTCAAGGACCAACTTTATCCATAATTTTATGGGAGGATACACATGCATCATGCATGGAAGGTAAGACATGATAACATAACAGTGCTTGAGATTGGCTTCTTCTCTCTCAACTATCAATCACACACACCCAATAGCCATAAAGTCCTGTTATTTGATTGAAATAAATAAACTAGGAGTCGTATTGCCAAGATAAGATGAAAAAAATGAATTCAAGGATGCGCTAAATAGGGTTGTCTTTGTTGAATTCGTCCGTGTCAACTAGCAAGTGGGCGTGCCGGAGTGGTTATCGGGCATGACTAGAAATCATGTGGGCTTTTCTCGCACACGTTCGAATCCTGCCGCTCACGTCCTTGAATCTATTAAAATATTTATCTACTAAACTCTTCAACCATTTAACCGTATGTATGTCTCCTGATCTCAAGACTTCAGTTTGGTATGATGTTTTGAGATTTTGCAGGGACTCATAAAGCAAGCAAACAATCATTGAAATTGAAGAAACATTTAATAAGCTTCTGAAACTTGGTATTTCATTTTCAAATCCTTTCAGTAATATGATATCTTTTGCATAAATGAAGGTTGACAAGTCCTTCACTACATCATAGGCTGAGCGTCCTTCGGCTGAAGAGGTTGAGTCCTCGTTACAGAAGTTAGGCTGAGATGAGTGTCTTTTCAACGTCAATATCCATTCTGGAGATACAAAATGTCATGTCTTATTTTCCAGGAAAATAAGTTTAATGCAAGGTCAGTGAAGTGGAAATATAATATCAAAAGTATTTCCAACGGTTTATGTTATTCGTAATTGGGATGAGCGTCAGAAATGAATATGTGCATGGTATCAATATGGTCACTAAGAAAAGAAAGAAGATTCCAAGCATAAGGGAATGTAATTAGTAAATAGATGTCTTCCTTCGGCTTTTGCATGGTTAAAAGGTTTATGGAATAGCAATTGCTTGAAAAATGACACCAATAGAAGATTGAAATGATAGAAAATGCAGAAAGGATTGAAATTATGCAGTAGAACTTATGGATCCTGAACATGGTACTAATGATATGATCTTTGGCCATGAAAATGAGATCAAATGAAAAAGTTTCAACAAAAATATTGCCTACAAACACATTGTTTGAATCAAGATGAAAAGATTCAAAAGTTATTGGACTAATTTTCAGATTCAAGAAACTAGCACATGAGTTTTACAAGCAAAAGAAAAGCAGAATCCATGAAACCAGCCATTTTCAAAGGAGTAAAAGAAGTCTTGGCAAGTTGTCACTGAAAATCCCATAGACTTAATGGACTAGTTAATCTATTTTTCTATATTTCCAAGATATATATTACTTCTATAAACAAAAATAGGGAATCTGCAAACACTGGATTTAAATAAGAAAACGAGTGAGCTATTCCCAACATTCCATTAAAATACTTATAGCAGTTCAAACCCATGTGCTGGTTTGAAGGCTGAAGCACTGAGTCCGGATAAAAGGTATATGCCGTTGGTTGGGAGGAAAAGTTCAACCGCCGTTGCCGGTGATCGAACCCGGGTCACCCACGTGACAGGCGGGAATACTCACCACTATACTACAACGACGGGAATGCAAATCGGAAGTATGATCTTTGGAAAGAGATCTGATTTAAGCAAAATAGATAAGGTTACTTTTTGCCCTTTTAAGCTATGATTAAGCAAATAAATAATAATTAAGTCTGTCTTAGAGTATTAGAAATTATAATAATTGATTTTACATAAAATTTGATTTATTTATATTATGTTCACCGATATGGTATGTTTTAATTGTTTTTATTATACACGAACAAAGTTACTTCAATGGTTAAAGTGATGATTGTTATCTTTAGAAATCCTAAATTTGAGCACAAGAGAGTTTAAGGGTGTTTGAGTTTTCATTGTCAAATGATTGAGAATCTTTAGAACAAATACTACCTTGCAATCACTTTAGATTAATAAAAAAAAATTGTTTTTTATTATGTGATGTGCAAATTAATCACAAATTTAACCTAGTTTCATGTTGAACCTACCAAGTGGCCTTAGTGGTAAAAGAGAATGTTATTCTCTCTAAAGATCTTGGGTTTCAACAGTTGTATCTTCAAGGGGTGTGTGTTGTTAATTGGTTAAGAAAGTACTAAGCATATACTACCTTGTAATTAGAGGTGTTTGTAGTATGAATTATGAAACTTTAAAATATTCATGTTGTGTTGTATTTGAAAAAATAATTGTAATAGGTTAATCGCATGTTAACATATAATCGAACCATTAACGATTAATGGTTTCTTAACGATTATATTACGATTAGAAAAATCTCGTAACTGTTATAACGATAAATCAAACATTTTAGACTAAACGATATGATTAACTATTCATAAATAACCATACTTATAATCGCCCAGACTTTTTTTTTATAATATAACTTTTTTATATAATTTTTCATTTAAGTTCTAACACTTTTGCATGTACGTTGCTTTTTATATTTCCATATAAAAATTATTACTTACAATTTAAACACGTAACTAAATTATCAATAAACTCTACACTAATCATTTACTGCTACATTCAGGGTGTATCTAGGTCTAGGCCTACCTATGTCATGGTCCATTCCATGCCCAAAAAAGGATAAATTATTTATTTAGTCACTCATTTATTATTTAGTTTTATAATATTACATTTTGTTTCTGTTTTAGTCACTCGTCTTTAAAAAATTATGTTGACATGTCATAATAAGATAATATCACGTTAGGATTGCAAAATAATTAAAAATGTTACGTTAACATCATTGTTGATTTTTAACAGTATATAAAAATATTTTTTAACAATAGTTGATCAAAACATAAGGTTAAATATGATTTTGAACTGTTACTATTTTGTATTCACTATAGATTTATCAAAAAATATGATTTTGGAAAAGAAATATCTGTGTGACTAAAACATAAATTAGGAAACATGTGGGTGATCAAATATGTAGTTTACCCTAAATAAAAAATATGTATGGATTATGTTATAAAATTTATATTGGTCTAAGTAATATATTTTTCTAGATATAATCTACGCATATATATAATTGTTATTACATTTTTAAATAAAAATATATATGAATTTATATATATATATATATATATATATATATATATATATATATATTTGTTATACTTATAGTGGTCCAAGCTATAGAACTTTTCTAGTTTGTCACATGCTATATTTATAATAATTATTAAATAAATTTTGATAAATATATTTTCACACATCCAAATTGTTGACATGTAAAAAATATTTATCGAGATCAACAATCAGTTGATTTAGTGAAATGAAATACTAGATTCATTGAGTAAAGTAAGAGATTCAAATCATGATATTATAAATAGAGCAAGCTGAATTGGGAGGGTCACCTCCATGGTGAGCATCTACAATATTTAACCTATATTAATCGGTCAATAGATCAGACGTTGATAATTTAAAAAAAAGAAACTTTTACCTAGAATTAACCGATATTCTAAAAGGATATCGATAATCATAGATAAAGGCAAGATATTTCAATATAAATTAATTTTTCACGCATGTATGTCACGATATCTAAATTTGGATGTGAATTTATAATAATGCCATAAGCGTTCAAAAAAAATCCTACCTAATGAAATATTAGCTAAGATATTTATTGTAAGATTGTTATGATGATCCATTAAATTTTTACATGATTTGTCTAAAAAATTTTGTATAAAATCCTCACCACAAAGGCACTTTTGTATATTATCATCTCATCATCAGCCAATACATAAAAGACCTAAAATTCAATCTTATTTTCTTCTCTAATTGAATTCAACACTATCTACTAAGAAATGAAGATGGGTTCTTTTGACATTGTTTTCCTTCTTATCATCTCGATTCTAGCCTCTTGTTAGTACATACATACATCGTTATATGTATCATATTTCTCTATTTTAGTATTTTAACAAATTGTTGACACAAAATATTTAAATGATGAGAATTTTTTTTTTCAATTTAATTTGTAGGTGTGTCAAACTCAGCAGCATGTTCTAGTGATAAAGATTGTGAAGGTTATGAGTTTTGCGCCTGCGACCCGATCCACAATTGTTATTGTCAACCTCCGGAGATTGCTGCTAAGGTGGAACCGGTCATTGTGGATGCTCAATGTCAAACAAATGCCGATTGTGCTCTCGCTTGTCGATGGGGTTGCAAACATTATAGTTGTATCGGTGGCACTTGTATCTGTCAGTGTTAGTAATGTCTGAAACTTTATTTCAATTCCAGAAGACTCGAAAAGAAACTCTTCTATATGCTGAAAAATAAAAAAGAACAATAATACAAGTAAAACATGGTTTTCATATTATTTTACATATTTGATTATTTTTTAACCTAGCCTTATTGTTTTTATACTATTCTATACATTAAATATTTGATAAATGAATAATTTAACAATAAAGCAACAGAAAATAATAACGATGAAATTACAAGAATAAAAATAAGATTGTAGTAGGTGAAAGTGTATAACTTTATACTATGTAACTGAAGTGGTGCTGGAATAGAAATAATATGCAAACACTGCATTTAATAAGAGAAGCAGTGAACTATTCCCAACATGAACAACAAAATATTTAACACCAACTTATGAACTAAACTACCTGCACCATATAAAAGAATAAACAAATAATAAACAAGTTGCATGATGCAATAAACATCGGTCAAATAAGATTTTAAAAAAAATGAAGTGAATTGCTTACATTTAGAAAAGGGGATTTTATTAATAAAAAAAGTAAAAAAATGATTATAACCAAGCATTTTTTTAGTGATTACAGTATTTATACATTTAATTTTCTTGTGAGTTAAAGCAATAAATTGCAACACAAACACAAATAACAAAAGTCGAATGAGACCAGAAATACCCATGGTGCAATAGCAGTTCAAACCCATGTACTAAAGGCTGAAGCAATGAGTCTGAATCAAAGGTATTTGCCGTGTTTGGCCGGGGGAAAAAGTTTATGGGCGGTTGCCGGGGATCGAATTTGTTGATATGTAAAAAATATTTATCGATATTAACAATCAGTTGGTTTAGAGGAATAAAATATTAAACTCATTAAGTAAAGTTAGAAGTTCGAATCCTGAAATTATAAATAGAGTAAATTGAATTAAGAAGGTCACCTCCATGATGAACATCTAAATACTAAACCTAAATTAATCAATCAATACATTAAATGTCGATAATTAAAAAAACAAACTTTCACAAAAAATTAACGGCTGAGATTCTGAGTAGGATATCGATAATCATAGATAAAGATAAAATATTTCACTGTAAATTAATTTTTCATACGTGCATGGTACAATATCTGGATTTTGATATACATTTATTATAATACCATAAGCGTGTAAGAAAAATCTCTACCTACGGAATATTAATTAAGATATTTGTTGCATGATTGGCATGAGGATCCATTAACTTTTTTACACGACTTACCTTTTATATATATATATATATATATATATAAATCTCCAATACAAAGGCACTTTTGTATATCATCATTCATCTTTAGCCAATATACAAAAATACCTAGAAACCAATCTTAGTTTCTTCTCTAATCGGCTTCAACATTACTTACTAAGAAATGAAGATGGGTTCTTTTGGCATTGCTTCCCTTCTTATCATCTTAATTATGGCCTCATGACAGTACATACATACATATATAGAATAGCTATGCGTATCATATTTTTCTATTTTAGTATTTTTAACAAATTGTTTACGCAAAATACTTAAATGATGACTTTTTTTTATTTAAATTTAATTTGCAGATGTGTCAAACTCAGTAGCATGTTATAGTGACAAAGATTGTGAAGGTATGAAGTTTTGCGCCTGCGATCATGCCAACAATTGTTATTGTCGGGTCATGTATTTTTTATACTAGATCCGATCCAAATTTATTCTTAAAAAAACCCAATCTGATTCTGAACTCAAATTTAAAAAAAAGACCTTATTGGGTTGGGTCGAAACCCAATGTAATCAGGTCGAATGCCCATTCATAATTGATTGGGATGAAATTATATACTTTTAAAAATTAAGAAGATCTATTAAATATTTAAACTCATATTTTAAAAGATTATAAATTAATTTATATAAGATTTAAACTTACAAATACCTAAATTATGGTTAAAATAAAATAAAAAAAAAAGAGTAAGGTCCCTCCTAATGATGCTTTGATTCCGTCACTGATGGTGTCATATAGGAAATATCAAAAGCTGTATGATTTCATGTATTGGTCATCATTTTTGGTGTCATTGGCAATTCTTCCACGATTATAAGGCAAGGCAGTCTTGGGAGTTGAAAAAGTTCAAAATGTTTGGATTTTTTCATGTTGGAATCATGCAAGAATCGGTTTTATGCTACATGAAAACTGAATTATAAAAAGCTAAATCATAGATCTCATAGCTATTCATGGACCTTCAAGACTGCAACAACAATAACGGAAGAAGTGAAGCTTTTTGGCATGTGGGCGAGCCCTTTCAGTCGCAGAGTAGAGTTGGCACTGAAACTCAAAGGAATACCCTATGAATACATCGAAGAAGACTTGTCAAACAAGAGCCCTTTGTTTTTGAAGTCCCTCTTTTACTGCATAACGAAAAACCAGTTGAATCATTGGTCATTCTCGAGTACCTCGACGAGACATGGGAAAATAAACCCTATTTTGCCTCGAGATCCTTATGAAAGGGCAAGGGCTCGTTTCTGGGCTAAATTCATTGATGAAAAGGTAACCCCACTGTCATCGTTTCTTGAACAAATTCATATTAAAAGTACTTTGTCTACAATTTGACCCTTATAAAATGCAATGTGATTTGCTGTTTGCAGCTTGTGCCAACGGTATCCAAGTTTAGTCACACCTCAGGGAAGGAAAGAGAGCAGGCCATTGAAGAAGCTCAGCTGAAAATTGTGGAAGATGAGCTCAAAGGGAAGCAATTTTTTGCAGGGCAGAAAATGGGGTACCTGGAGGCTGCAGCACATATTTTATTCTAGCTTCCTGTTGTTGGAGAGCTTACTGGGGAATCAATACTAACCACTGAGAAGTTTCCATTTATCTGTGAATGGACGGAAAAGCTCATGAAAATTGATGTTGTCAATGAATGTTTGATCCCAGAAGAGAAATATTCAGATTTGATCAAACTAGACAGAAGAGCTTCAAAATCTGTATGAAGTGATGTATTTCCATGAAACTGTTGAGATTATAAGATAACTTTCCCAAATAAAAGTTCATTTCATTGAGATGAAAATAAGGTAACCCTTCAGATAAATTGTTACAATTGCAGAAAAATTCCTTTCTTTTGAATAGAATGTGAATCTAAAACTATGGAGGAATGGAAAGAAAGTATATATATAGAAACATTCTTTATTTAATGCAAAACATGAAAGATGTCCATGTCCATACAAAGTTTCATGGGAATAGCACTGGAACTGGTCCAATTAAGCACTCTCGGGATCTGAGTACAGCCTGAGAATCAAGATATCCATATTACATAGAACAGAAACAAGAACATAATTTATTCTCAAAGATACAGTAGTTTGCAGAAAACTAAGTTCAGCCTTTGTGATCAAAATCAATGAGTACTAGGCTCCTTCACAATTGTTATAGGGCAATCTGCATGTACCATCACATAATTGCTCACACTTCCAATCAGTACCCTAATGCCAACCAAAATCAGAGTATCAGAATCAGAACAAAATGATAACATGAACAATAATAACCAGTTCATGTCCCGATCCGACTTTTCAGACCATGCAAACAAACCGAAAATGTTTTCTTCGAGCACCAACTAACCACTCAAAGTTTAGTGTGTCTGTCAACAAATTCGAACTTAGAACTTGTATTCAACAACCAATTGGTTCTAAGGTCGAATCTGTTGAGCCACGCCGAAGAAAAGTTTCAGTTTCTACATCATGCCAATTTAATGAATATATCTACCTAAATGAATGATTTGGCCCTTCAAAACATATTCTCATTTTCCCAGGAAGATGATGAAATATTTATTTACCTTTGAATGGTGCCAAGGCCTCTGCTGCCCATTACCAAAGAGTCCAGCTTCAAATCAGCAATGGATTCACATATTTTATCCCTGGGATCACCCCAGTAAATCTTTGCCACAATAGTCACCTGTAAACAGTTTTAGGAGCAAAATCAAATAAAAAATTCAACAAAACAAAAGGAAAAAGAATACAAAATGAAGCTGAGAGGGAAACCTCCTTCTGTTTGGAAGCCGTATCAACCAAGTCTAGAACCTCGGGATCAAGATCAACATTATACGTTTGCATCACTTCCTTCTCTCTAAGCTCCGATAGTGGAATCAAAGCTACAAACCGGAATTACCAAGTCAAAGGAGGTCAAATACGAATGATCCACAGTAAAAAGAAGGTTGATCAAAAATGGAATTGAACCGTGCAGTGACTTACGTGAGCCGGTGGTGGACCAAAGAAGGTTGCGAGACTCGTCGTTCTGATGGTGTTTGACATGGATGAGATAAAGGGTATCGCCTTTGTCTACCAGATTGTCGATTGTCCATTTCAGAGCTAATTTGCTTCCCTTGGAGAAATCCACTGCTACTCCGATTTGCCTATCTTTTGTCATATTTTTTTCCGCTTGAGGAATCAAACCCAGAAACGAACAACGTAATATGATCAAAGGGATAAGGTCGTGAAATCTAAGCACACAGTTTTAAGGAGACACTAGGGGAGGGGAAGCTATGAGATGCCAAGGCTGTTTCTCTTTTCGCTAGTTTCTTATTGGAATACAATTATACGGAGGAATTTCAATAATTATGACAATATCTATGGATATTACTTTTATGATTTTTGTCTTTTTAGTTTTAATCTTTATTAGAATTAATTAGGATTATCTAAAACAAATTAACAATAGTAATTGTGATTTAAATGCTGTTATGGCATCTAAATATTTAGGATAACGTCCCTCACTTACTTTTGTATTTTGTTTTAATCATTCAATTATTTTTAAATTTTATATTTAATGTTATATTTTGTTTATGTTTTTATCACTTATTGTTGGATTTGATTGATTTAATAGAAATAATGATCTTACATAATATAATAATAAATTTAAATTTTAAAATTTCATCGATTTTGAAAGAGGCCACTAAATTATTATTAATTATATAAATTATTTCAAATTAAAAAGAGTACTAAACTGATAGTCTTTTTAGACATTCAAAATTTTGTTTATTTATTTATTTTTAAGATTAATTTGATAAAATGTGTAAATTTTGTGGGTTAAATGTATTATTATACCAATGACAGATCATAATTTTGTTAAGTTATTTATTATACTTAAAAGTATGTGATAAAAACAACAAAAATGAAAATTTAAGTATATACAAAAGTAGAGATTAGTTCAAGTGATAAGTAACTTGATATTTTTTAAACAAAATCTCGAAATCAAGTCATAGTGTATGCAGAAAATCTCTCCTGTGAGACTCATCAAAAAAATTAGGTGTGCGACATAAATTGATCTGAATTAATCAAGACGAAACGCTGAAACCATAATAATAACTAAAAAAATAAGTATACTTTGAGAAAATAATAATTAAACGACTAAAATAAAAATATAATAATAAGTAAAGTGATCTTAAATTTTTATGTAATCAGATAGAATTGAATTAAAAATGTGAAAATGGTGGTTCGTGAGAAGATATTTTAAAGGTGTCCTCTTTGAGCAATTATTGCTCTGGAGAACGGAAAGAAAGCAACGTCTCATATGCGCCTTAATGCGATTGGGAGCAGAGCGTAGAGATGAGGTTGAATCCACAAATTAGGTGGCCCACCACCACCACCACCGTCGACCGGTCCCTTTCGACAACTTATAAAATCTGGTTAAAACTACTTGGATTCAACTAAACTCGTGTTCTTCAACGTAATTATAGTTAACACACAGATCACGCTCTTCTTACCAAAGATAAAATAATCTTCATATCGCATAGATGACACTGTTTTATGATGCGGACAGGAAAAATAGCAATGAAGAATTCAGTGCCTAAATAATAATCCCCTTTAAATGGACCCAACTTTATTCTACTTTCCTACGTATTTGCATAAATTGTGACACCGACACCATGTATTTGTGTTAGAAGGTTTGGGCTGAGGCCTCTGATTTTGGCCCAAAAATAAACTTCAAGACTTCCGTCAATGGTTTGTATAGTAGGTTTTTACTGTTACAACGGGTAAACTATTGAAATGGCCACTTTTGTTTCATAAGTATTCAACTTTTGCCAACAAATATAAACAAATGACGTATTGATAATTAATATTATTATCTATTCATAACCTTTTAGTCACGTAAGTTATCGATTTATAATATTTTGTTATTGAAATATTAAATATTGTTAGATAACATGACAAGTTAGTAAAATAGATTAATTTTTAATATGACATCTGAACTTTATAAAAAAAATGAATTTGACCCCTAAACTTTAGATAAAATATCAAATTGACTATTAAAATTTAGATACAATATTAATTTAACCTATAAATATGATCAAAGTCTCTCGCCACCTATCACTGCTCACCATCGTTGTTGATCAATCTTAATTGTTAGCAATCGTAGTTGTTGATGACCATTGGACCCAAAATTTTCAATTCATTTTTTTCATGTTAAACACAAATTAAATATTTGCTCATCGGGAAGTACCTCGAACTTCATAAATCTAACATATAACTCTTTACTTCTTTTAAAATTAAATCATAATAATAAGTTTATCATTAATATTCTTTTAAAAATAAGGGCATTAAAAATATAAATTTATACAATAATCAAATTATTTTTTTAATCGTGTAATATGCTTGTTTGACAAAAAGAAGTACTACAAAGATAAATATGAATGAAAAATACAATAAAGTTTTATGATAATTACATTTAAAAGGTTAAAGTGAATTTGTTGAGGGTGACTCGGTGGGGGATGTTTCGAATGTTTTAAGAACGTGTGCATTAGTATAAAAGAAGAAGAAAAACAACGTAAAATTTTTAATAAACTTAGTGAATCGAGTCGAATAATAATTTTTTTAACCAACACTTTTCGATTTGCAATCAATTCCCTTAATGAGTACCCTTCTCGCACTAGGGAAGTGCTCGGTCATGGAGGCTGGGATTTGGTGTCTCTACGGTGGTTTACTCTTAACATGGGAGTTGGGTTTTAAAAAAATTGGTCCTTAAGAGCAATACTATAGCTGCTGTTACGAGCAATATTATTTTTGTTATAAAAGATCATTAAAAAAAATCAACATCAATGAATTGAAAATATTCAAAATCAGAATAATCTAAATTCAAAATGGTTTGATCCAAAAATAACCAAACCTATCGAATTAATCAACAACTCATGGGAGGAGGATCAGATGTATTAACATCAAACAACGTTTCAGTATTTTTCTTGAAAATCCTACTACCAAACAATAAAAATCCCAACGTATGACAGGCAACCGCCATTAGAAACGCACCACCATTAAAAGACAGGATAGAAAGCATTACCAGATAAGCAAGACCAACCCTAATGGCATGCAACAACGTTTGCACCACACCGGCCAAGATATTATTGCTTGTCCCTGGCTTGATCCGTTGACAATGCGAGAGCCATTCGATGAGGAACGCGAGCATGAACATGAATATCAAGGCTAATGTGTACATACCAACACCGTGACGGCCGAGGCAAAGGGAGAAGAGGATCTCGGCAATGTTGCCCCAAAAGAAGGTCATATGCATCATCATCATCCTGTGGTGGTGCATCCCAAACGTTCCATTGGTTGATTGCGATGTTGATGCCATGCCTTCCATGCCACGATCATGATTCACGGTACCTACACGGTGTAAGTAGTGTAAAAATATATATGCAATAATGGAAATTGTAAGTTCAAAGATGGAATATGGTGTTTTTGGGTGGAAATTTGTGTTGAACCTAAAGGAGAAGAAGTGGATGATATAAGGAGGTTAATAAGGCCAAAAGTTTAGGGATTTTGAAAGATAAAATGTACAGTACAGTATCATATATTGTCCTAGTAAATTTTGTACTAATTTAATTCAATTTAGTTCTATTTGGTCCCTGCAGTTGGCAAGTTCTACTCTTGAGTTTTCTTATCCAAATAATACCATTGACCCAATGACTTTTTTATATAAAATTATATGAAAACTAAATGAAAAATATTATTCATAATATATGCATATATTTTAGGTAAATCACATGTCATTGTATTATGTTTAAATGAATATTTTGGTTTTCAAATGTTATAAAATAATTATAAAATTATTACAAAATAGTAATGAAACATATAATAATTGTAAAAATTTGATAAACTTAATAATCATTTATAATAATTTGATAAAATTTAATGATCATTTCATAGCAATCTGATAAATATAATAATCATTTTGCAATATTTTGAAAATTACTAATCATTTTGTCATTTTTAAAAATTTAATGATTATTTGGTTCATATGAATAAAATATAAAATTAATGTGTTTGGTTGATGAAATATAAAGTTATATGAAATTAATTTTTGCTAAACTATTTGTAATAAGTTTTTTTCAATACTATCAATCTTAAATATTAAATTAAAAATTAATAATATGAAACTTTATAGAGCTTTTGCATTAGACTTCGATTAAAATTTATATTTAATATTTTATTAATATATTTATAAAATATTTTATTAATATATTTATAAAATATTTTATTAATATATTTATAAAATATTTTATAAATATTTTAATATAATTTTACATAATCGTAATATTTTGAGTTAATATTGTTTTATTAGGATATTATAAATTGGTTTGTTCATTTGTCATCAATTTTCACTTATATTTTTATCTAATAAAACTAATTACAAATAAATAATAGATGAAAGAGCAACAAAAATGATATTATCCAAATTTCTCAATCCATTGTATATACGTTGTATAGTGAATAATTTTAAAAATAGTTTTATTACTATATTCTTAATTATTTTTTTATTATGTTACATTACCATCTTCTTAAAATTTTATTAGAATTAATTAATTAATTAATTTATTTATTATAGAAATCAATAATTTATTCTAAATAAGAAATATCTTAAATTACAATAAAGATTTATAATTATAATTGTAAATTAAGCTCATAATTATGACAACTTCCTATAATCATTGAAACAAAACTACTAACTTAATATCACATAAGGACTATACAAAGAAATATTAAAATCTAACCAAGAAAACTTGAACATAGATATATACAAACAAATCTGATAGCATCGGTAAATGAACCACACAAAAAATCAAACTATTAAAATACCACCTATAAATCGCAAATCAGACTCGAGCGACGTGAAAAGTTATTCACGAACGCATAGCAAGTATCCAAATCCAATTCGAGAGTCCAAAGCAAGGAAGATCAATAATATAATAGATAAGTGTCATCTTGATCAATCATTGCGATATCAAATTAACCATTAGAAAAAAATAAGTGAAAACAACGGTCAAACGATTGAAAAACGTGCTAAAAAAGTAGAATAAAACATGTCATAAAAATATATGAAAACGTGTCATACAGATAAACTTATTTTCAATAAAAAAATAAATAAATAAGTAATATAAGAAAATGAAATGACAATAAAGAATATTGACGGTCGGTAATTAATATTAAAATTGATGTCACCACGATCAATAAAAAAAAAGTGGATGAACAACTTATTAATTATAGAAAACTAAAAGAGAATTAGGAGAGAAAACTAACTATAATATAACTTATTTCTTAATATTTACAATCAAATATAAAAACAATATTCCAATATATTATATATGGTATTTTTGAAATGCTACGTTATTATTGATAATATAACATGCCTCTAAGCAAACACGAGTGAAACTGAATAGAATTTAGAATGAAGTCCGAAGAACTTCCGGTGATCGAAACACCATCGGACCGTTCATATATCAATAATGGACACGATCAAACAATGTAGATCTAATCCAAAGGTAGACCCACCACTTTCATTAATCAGTTTTTTAATGTCGGGACCATCCGAACGTAACCTTCCCGTCTCGCATCTTTCTAACCGGATGTAAATAGGTTTGCTTAATCAGTTGAGTTGTTAGTGAGTTGTTCGAATTTGATTCGGTCAAAGTTTAATAAAAATTTGATTTGGGATGACTCGAATATGATTCGAACTCGAATTGAGACCTTAATGACTTGATTCAAGCAAAGTTTAACTCAGCTCAATAAGTTCGCAAGCAACTATTTATTTATTTTATATAATTTTTTCAGTAATTATCTTAAAAAATATTTAATTCAAAAAAATACTAATTAACTAATAAATAATAGAAAAGATGATAAATTATTAATTTTTTAATTTTTTAATAAACAATAAAAGAATATTAAATTATTAATTAGTATTTTACTACACTAAAAAATCAAGCCATATTTATTATTTTAATATATTAGTGGATTATCACTAGTTTAAACTTTGAAATTGTTTCATATACTATTTTGATAATATTTTTGGTTAAATTTATTAATTTATGTTTATATTAAGCTTGGTATAGTATTAATAGATTTTACCTATAATTTAGAATATAAGGTAAAAATTTTGATAAAATTTTGATGAACTTAATGAACATCGAGCTTAATAATAATGAGTCGATTAACAAGTTTTTTTAACGAATACAAGTCGAATAAAAAATTAACGAGCAATGAGTAGAGTAAAATAATAAATTTTTTTAACGAACACGAGTAAAACACTGTCAAACTCTCGATCGACTCACTCGATAAACACCTTTAGATGTAATCACTTGATGTACTTTATTCTCTTTAATCTTCCGTTCTCAACCGTCAGATCAAAAACTCCTTCCCACGTTAAACAAGCGCAACAAACTATCCCCTCCCATCACAACTTCTTTCTCCCCTCACTTTGACCGTCTTTTTAGTCTTCGCCTTGAGCCATTAAAAACCAAGCAAATAATAAAACACTCCGACTTTCAGCTTTGGGTTTTTCAAGCAATTTTTTGTTTAAAAAAGGCTGAAGGTTTTATTTCTTTTACGAGGAGATTCATCATTGTTTTGGGCGTTTTATCTATCGTTTTCGCCTCAGATCTTCTTTGGTTAAGCTGCTTTTTTTTTCATTGCCCAATGCGCGGTAAAAACGTGGCGTTTCTTCCCCTTGGCGTTCGCGTTTTCCGTTACTGACGGCGGTTTCGTTCTGCATTACCAGTACTCAAACCGGTATGTTTTGCTTGGTTCCCGGGAATTTTTTTTAATGCTGTTAAGTGTTCAAGTTAACAAGCACATTTATTTCCTTTACTTTTGCCCCTTTTTGTTTAAAATAATAATTATAGTAAGTATTGGACACTGTTTGGAACTTGGATTCCTAAAATTGAATCTTTTGTCTGAGGAAAATATTATTTCTCTAAAAAAACAGGGAAAAAGATGCGTCTAATTGATTTGGTGAAATAAACGGGATTTTTAGTTCTTATAAGTTTGAAGAAAAAAATGATTGCGTATGTTGGTTTGAATAAGTTGAGGTCGAACTTGTCGGTTCCAGTAAATTTAAGCTGATCGGCGATAACTCTTCATTTGTAGCTTATCTGAATAATTACTCTCAATCCCTTTATGTTTTTTCTCCCGTATGGACCACTCACTTCCGATTCTTTTCAAACTACACATCATTTCAAATTCAAATTTGTCTTCACCCCCTTTTGTCAATTTGTCAACCTTGAACTCGCGAAACTTTTGAATTTCGTTCACTTTTGTTAATATTTTGGAACCTTTAGATGAAATTGTTCACTGTATATCACATTCGCGAAACTTTTGTCAGTTTTTAAAGTGATTTGAGCTCTGTTAGTTGTGAATTATTTGTAATATTTAGTCTAGAAAATATTGAAAAAGTGCATTGATTTTAATTGTTTAGTTACGAACCATGGCAATATGTGGTTGATTTATGGGGTAATCAGAATGAAACAAATTTGATGGAGTCCTAACCTAATGCTTACTGACTTGGAGATTTTACTTGTGAAATAAGTTTTATGGCTTAACTGGTTCGTTTTAGGCATTTGCTGCTCTACTTTCTATTAGTGTATTAGTACTTTCAACGTCAATGGTTAAGTATTAAGGGCATGTTTAGGATGGTATATTTTCATGTTATAATAATACTTTAAAATACATTAAACTTTTAGTTTTGACCTTTTTTCAAATAATGTTTAGCTGTTAAAGGGTAAAACTAGCTGAAAATACTTGATATGATAAAGACTTCTAATTGTGGGTGATACCCCTCAATCAGTGTTGAGAGGATCTATGCTTGTTGCTTTAGGGTTTTGCGTCCTCTTGGTTGCTCTAGTTACTGAACCTTCCTCTCTCGTTTGTTTTGAGAGCCTCATGTCACTATGCATGTGATATACTGGTTTTTGTTTTCAATTTGATCGGGTTTTACAATATTGTTATATAATGTTCGTTCTTATCTCCAGAGTGGCATGAATGAATGTGAATCGAGTCAAAACTGTGCTGCCGGAAAGGGCCTGGAGTTATTAATACCTATACAGGCCATGGAATGCAGTTTAGAGCTCAAACAGAATTCAAGAGGTTAATCCTTTGGAACTTCTGTGAAGACCATGTTGCTCCAACCAAGCCAGAGGGCAAGTATGCAAGGCAGATTGAAACCTGAAAGGCCTAATTTGTCATATGCTGATCTTCATCAAGAAAATACAAAAGATGGAAAAGAGGTTTCACCTAAATCTTCGTGGAAGAATAAAAAACAACATGCTGGTATCAAGGCTAATGACGAAGAAGAGCTTGTGAAGTACATGTCACATTTACCAAGTTATTTAGAGAGAGGAGCAAAAATTCCCCAAGAACAAGTTTTAAATGTTGGGGTCCTTGAGTGGGGGCGTCTTGAAAAATGGCAGGGTAGCCATAAACAGATTTCACATAGTAGTATTTCTTTACTTTCCAGCAGCAACACATCATCATTATCAGCAGATGAATCGTCAGCACATTCGAGCACAAGTCACAGTTTCT